GTTAACATCCTCAAATCACCGAACTTGTATGTGGTTTTTGATCTATTAAAAACAATTCTAAAACAGAGCATTTCCTTTGAGAAATGAGGACCTTGACCTGAACGGGATTTCCCAGGAGAATCAGCAGACTGCTGAGTAACTGCTGCCGATGCTGGCATCTCTGAAAAGGTCCTCTGCCCATATGTCACATCCTGTGAAGTCAGGCACTTGCGGGTCACGGTGTGCTGTGCAGCCTGGCTTCTCCTCGCACCGCTGCCCTCGTGGAGGATAACAACACATTGACCCTGGACCTGAGCCTTGGTTACACACTCAGAGAACCCAGTGCTTTTGTACAAAGACAAATATTATTGTGTGGATGTTATGCTTCCACTACCCAGTATTTGGGGATAACTGCTGTGTCTGGCGGCCGACCTGCTGTTTTCAGAGCTGATGTCAACTCACTGTTTATGTCCTTTCCATGGCGGGGCATGCTTTTTTGCCTAAGACTGGTCTGGTTCTACAAAGGCAAAGAGGCAACTGTCTAGAAGCCTGGTCAACAGCTGCAAGGCCACCCACACACACACAGGGACACAGCTCTCAGCTGTCCACTACGAGCCCAGTCAGTGTTGACCCCATACAAATTTGGTGTTCCCACTTTGATGTTTATGAACTGATTGCATTAAAAATGCAGTATAATGATTCCAGGGTTAGAAAAACTGTTATTATACAAAATGTGGTTAACACCTCATCATTTAAACCGGCTGGGCTAATAACACCCACTGTGTTGTTTTCTATTTCCCCTCACGGCTTAACATTTGCTCTGGCGGCAGGTCCACAGGTCCAGTGTGCACTGGGACAGGAAGGAACCCTCAGATGGCAAAAGGCATTTCCGGAGGAAGCTCCTAAGGAGGGACCCGGGCACAGATGGAACTCTGCAACAGGGAATCGCGTTACTTAAATGGTGGCCAACAACGTTAGGGCTGGGCAGTTCCTCAGTGGTGCACCATAACCTACTCATGCAGTATATGGTGACAAGACATGAAGTGCAATGTATTCATTCTAAAACCTCACTCATGCTAAAACCCCAAACTCTTTGTTATTAACAGTGACCTAACACTTAAGGACAACAGCGTTCCAGACCCTTTAATTATATAAGTGTGTATAACATACATACATTTCAAAATATGTCCCCCAAACTGGACAGCTCAATTACTACTAAAATAGTACGTGTGTGTGTGTGTGTGTGTGTGTGTGTGTGTGTGTGTGTGTGTGTAAAATGTAAAATGAAAAATGTATTTCCTCTGTTATTTCTCCCACAGTTAAAATGGTCACCAGCCATCTATCTGTGCCAATGGCTACCAGAGTGCAGAGGGCAGGCATACACTATCACCAGAGGGCAAGGAGGGCACTGGCTTAGGAAAACCAGGTGCTATGCTCATTCTGCTCAGATACAGCTGCTGAAATCAGTCTTTCAGTATGTATTCCTGCTATGATTAGAAGGTGAGAAAGGGTACCTCAGGTAACAACACGCAAGAGGTCCACCCCACACCTACATAAAAAGCCATCAATGCTAACTCCCCAAGTTATGCTCAGTAAACTAGATAGAAAATTCTGAGGCCCTCCCTCTAAGCTAGAATATACATACTGGCTAACAGGATCAAGGATTATTTATGAACAGCTAGAATTTATTTTGCATCTATGGAATTGTGACTCAGCCTTGCATTCAAACATGTCACCATTCTAAATGCCTCACTGCTCACTGATGGTGCTGTCCCAGGAGGATATGATTAACAGGGCTTCAGAAAGGCCACCAGTCCGGCTCCACTGCAGCCATCAGGGAGATCCACCTGCCCTGCTGGCTAAACTTCTGACTCCTGTTTGCTTCACAAAGGAATGAGAGAGCTGTCTGTAGGCATGGAGTAGTTCTCACTTGTTTCCAAAATTAGTTTTTTTCTGCCAGCTCACCTCAAATAGTCTTTGTGCTCATAATATGAGTAGGGCTGAAAATCCTCTGCATCCAGGACACCCAAGAAGTGACAATGAGAATCGATCATCTTCATCACAATGATGACTGTGGGGAACGGACGGGGTCATCCTCTGTCAGATGGAAACCAAAGCTAACACAGCACCAAGAAACCATAACCACAGCTTTGCACAAGCTTCTTCCTCTAAGGCCCTTAGTAATACAAAACCTCAATTCCACTACAGTAGCTTTCTAAAAAAAGTTGTTGGGGTAGTGCTGTCCAATCAATGCTATCAAGATGTGTGAATTCACTTTCAAATTCTATTAGCTATAAGGCAGTAAATGTCAGTAGCTAAAGTGTGTAAGTTAAACCCTGGGGGCTGGAGCAACGGCCCAGCAGTTAAGGCACTTGTTGCCCTTGCAGAGGACCTGGGTTTGGTTACCAGTACCCACATCTTGGTTCACAACCAATGGGTTCCAACACTTTCTTCTAGCCTCTGAAGACATCAGGCACACACGATACACGAACATACATGCAGGCAAAATACCCAAAGGCAAAAAATAAGTAAGTTAATTAAAAAAAAAAAAAAAACAACTGTATCACTGTTTACTTGTCGGCATGCTTCCTAAGAAACATCAATGTTACCTGGTATGGTGGGATGCATCTGGAGTCCTAGCTACTGAAGACGCTGAGCAAGAGAACCCCCTGAGCCCAGGAGGTTAAGGCCAGCCTAGGCAACACAGTATGCTGATCTCTTAAATTTTATTCAAAAATAAAAAGAATTATGTCATGGGGGGGGGGGGAAGGGAGGGAGGGAGGGAATCTTTAAGTCCTTGTTTAAAAGTGAAATTCACACGGCACACACACACCGAAACACCAAACACATTTCATGGCACTCCAGTCATGAAAAGGTCCTTCCCATCTCGCTCGTGACTTTTTTTTTTTTTTAACACTTTATATAATGCAAATAACCAAAAACTATATAAGGAAAAAACGGCTGCCCAAAGCCTGCAATGGGCCAACTTATTTATCCGCTCTCCTATTTTTTTATAGAAATGTTCACATTCCTTCAAGATTCCACTTGAGGCATTTTCTCAGACCTTACAATTCCTCAGCTCTCTGCAGCATAGCACATTTTCTACATGTTTGCTGTATCCATCCACACTTCAGGCTCGAGCTACACAGCGATTACATTTCCTTTTGCCTTTGTTAGGTATCCGTAAATTGCTTTGTATTCGTGTAGCCTAAAACGCCGCCACAGACAGCAGGATTAGTTTGGTTGATGGTCACAAGATAGTCTTGCGTACAAAACACATTTATCAAAAAGCCCTTGCAGCATTCCAAATATCGAAACACCCTTTCTTTGCTCATCTTTTTTACTGAATCGATCTTTACAGGAATCAATGTTTTGATCATTTATTTTGATGTGAATTGGTGTTGTGCCTGCATGTGTGACTGTGTGATGGTGGGAGCTGCCGTGTGGGTGTCGGAACTGAACTGAATCCCGTGGAAGAGCATCCAGTACTCTTAGCCGCTGAGCCATGTCTCTAGCCCACTCAGGTGTTTGCTTTTCAGTAACTCTAATGACTCATTCTTGGCTCGTCTGAGGTACCAAAGGTGGCTTAGAGCTATTCTATCCAAGGGGTGTTGAAGGTATGTTTTTTTTTTTTTTTGGTTTTTCGAGACAGGGTTTCTCTGTGTAGCTTTGCGCCTTTCCTGGAACTCACTTGGTAGTCGAGGCTGGCCTCGAACTCACAGAGATCCGCCTGGCTCTGCCTCCCGAGTGCTGGGATTAAAGGCGTGCGCCACCACCGCCCGGCTGAAGGTATGTTTTAAAATCTGTTAACTAGCTCTTGAGTAAAGAGAACCCTGTGTATCCTGAAAATGAGTCAGGACTCCAATTCCATGCTAAAACACTAACCTATCACAATGACTCCACGTGACTTTCACTCCGAAATAGGTATTGCGTCTGACTTTTAAACAACACTCAACGAGAAAACTGTGCTTTACACTGAGAACAGTTGTTACAACTGTCCAGACTAAGATACCACCACAGTGTTGGCTATTGGGCTCCATAATTCTTCCCAGATAAAGAAAGCTAACTTCTTGCACTGGGAAGATAGTTGAGTAGATAGTGTTTACCACACAAGTAGGGGCACCTGAATTCAATGTCCACAATTGTGTAAAAGCAAGGCATGCCAATGTTCAATGGTGATTCTAGCTGGCCAGTCTAGCCAAATCTGCAATCTCCAGGTCTAATGCAAGGCCCCACCTAAATAAATAAATAAGGTGAAGAGCAACTGAGGAAGACATCCATATTCACCCCTGGCCTACACACAAACACATAAACACACTCTCTCATGCATGCACACACAAGCCTCCCATGCATGTATGTGTAGTATATGTGTATATGTATATGTATGTGAGTGTCTGTGTGTGAGTATGTATTTGATCAGGATGCATGAGGTTGTAGGTTCAATCATTGGTATTTTAAATAAATACCTCCACCAAAGACTTGCTTAAGTACTTATTAATCTAGTTACAAAACAAACAAACAAATAAACCTCCCTCCAAGGCTGGAGTGATGACTTCAGATGGCTCAGAGCACTAGCTGCTCTCCCAGAAGTTCCCAGCACCCACATCAACTGTCTCACAATCACCTGGAAGCCCAGCTCTAAGGGATCTGACTCCCTCTTTGGCCTTCAAGAGCAATACATCCATGTGCACATATCTAAATACAGACATACACATATAAACAAAAATAAATAAATCTTTAAAAATAACAGTCATGGGGCTGGAGAGATGGCTCAGCAGTTAAGAGCACTGGCTGCTCTTCCAGGACTCAGGTCCAATTCCCAGTACCCACTCGGTGGTTCACAACTATCTGAAACTTCAGTTCCTGAGTATCTGATGCCCTCTTCTGGCCTCCACGGAACTGAATGCCCACGGTACAGACACAGACAGAGGCAAAAAATACATCAAAAAACAAACCAACAAACAAAAATAACAACGTAACACATGCTGTTATCTTAAGATAATGACACAGGACAGTGAAAGTCGTCTTTATAGAATTTAATGTAGAACCAGAAGAGACTTAAAAATCCACAAGGCAACGGCGAGAGAAAGAGGCTATTTCCAACACCCACTCCAGAACACACTCAGCAGCTGGGTGTGGTAGTGCACACCCGTAGTTCCCAAATTTGGGAAGCTGAAGCAAGAGAATGGAGATTTCCAAGACGACTCTGGTACCTCAGAAGTCCGACTCCAGAATTCCAGATAGCCATACTCGCCTTAGACTCCTCATACACACTGCCTCTGCTTAAGTACTTTGAAGCAAGACACAAAGACACTAAAACCTAGAAGACATGACCACGCAACAAAATTATGTCATGGCCTCTCTCAAAAGTGACACTTTGTTTCAGTGGTGACTCGATTTTATTATGGAATAAAATTTCCTCTGAAAGAAGAAATGTGTGAACACTTTCTTCCTTACTTGCATTTTGAAAGCTGGGTTCAACTAGCACAAATCTATGCCCCAGGACAACCTGTTCCTCATAAGCAGTCAGTCACTCATTTTCATCATCCAAATGTGAGCTTCAGAAAAAAAGCTGCAAACACTTAGAACGGCCCCAAAACAGTCAACAGAAGACAATGAAGTAAAATTTTCATTCTCAAAAGTAAAAAGTTTGTAGGTAGTACATTCTTTCCCAAAATTAGCCGTGTGTTGTGTTGAAATGTTAATCTGTGCTAAGGAGTATCCAAACACCTTAGTATTCCTGCATTACTACTGAGGAAAACTTGTTCATAGTTACTTAGATTAAAATGATAAAAACACCAGCCACATAATACAACACGTATGTTCCAAATATGTATACTATGGGTGAGTCCTCTTCATTTAATGGCAAACTCCAGCCAGGGGCTAATTCACCTGTAGTCATAGAAGATCTACAGCACTCAAAGTGATCTAAAGACATCAACATCTGTGGTCCAGCACACCCTGGGCAGGGTTAGGTTCAGCGCAAAGCATATGCAAGTGTGTGCACACAGGTGGGGGGGGGGGGGCTCACTTTATGGAAAGATGGACAGAGATGAACCCTTCTCAAAAGAGAACACGTCACATCCAGGACCTATTTCCTTTCAAATTTTGTAACTTGAGTAAAGTCTAGGGGAATCTTGGATGGATATTGGACAGTTTTATCAGTGTTTCTAAAATTCAAATACAAAAATTACAATTTGAAATTTTACTACATAGGTTTTCTTAAAGGCTTACCAACCTAAGTGACATCAATCACGCCCCACAATAGATATATGGATCTGAGTACACTGAAAAATCATACATCAAAGTACATAAATCATGAATGGGCTTACACATGAGAAACACTGGTGTATGATCTGTATGTGCTCACATGTAAGGATTCTAGAGAAACACACATCTTACTGCTCAAGAAAGGAACCTAATCCTTTGTACAAATATTTTTTGAAAATGCTTAAAGTTACATGAGGATTAAAAACAGACTCTGACTGCAGCGCGCACAGGAAGGAGGCGCACTGGAGCAGGTGTTCTCCGCAGTCCGGGGATTTAACAGAGGCCTCTTGGCTGCCAACAGCAGTCTGAGCTGATGTCTTGGAGGAGGGCGGGAGAGTCCGCCCAGTCTGCTCACTCACTGGCCGACCCCGCCCGGCTGGCGGCAGGCTCATCGCTCTCCTTGTCCCAGTCCTTCATACTGGCTCCCATCATGAAATCATCTCGCAGAATCTTCCACCCCGGGCCCTCTTCTGATTTCACTTCAGTCTGAGAAAATTTATAGAACCAAATATTCACAAATCAAATAAAGGAAAAATTTAAAAATTATACACTTCAAAACAAACTTTTCAATGTGTAGTTTTAAATGAGCTTAAACCAAGATAACATAAAATTGATTTTATATACTATGTTCATGTATATACAAATACACAGTAAAGTGAAAATTTTCAACTCCACCAATGAAACATGAAAGCAAAATAATTTAGAGCTGGGAGAATACAGTAAAATAAAGACTTGGTGACAATTTTTAAATATTTGGACAACATTAATTAGCCTTCAGTGATAACTGAACCCCAACTGCACTAACAAAAGATGGTTGCAGGGTGTGTGTTCAAGGTAGTAGGTACCATATCCAGAGTCTCTAACAGTGTGAACAAAATACCCCTCACTCTGTTACAATCTCACTACCTGACGCAATCACGGAACCAGAGACTAAACAACATGCCAAAATTATAAATAACTGAAGAAGGCAACAAACTAAGCAGCCAATTCATTTCATCCAGTCACAGGATTGATGCAATACTTGGAGCCAAGTACACCCGCCTTCCTTTTGTGGTACAACAGCACCACCTTGTGGCATTATGTAAGTAATGCAACATATTTCTCTGATGATTATTAACAACCATTGTCCAGCACTGTCCTGTGTCAGGAACACCGATGCAACAAAACCAAGTCCAGTTCTCAGGGAGGCAGCCAGTCTGTGCAAATCTATCCTATTTGGGGGCTATATCTATGTAGCAAGCGTTTTTAAAGAAAAAAAGACACCAAATGTTTGCAAGGTTTCACAGCTAGTTACCTAACTCTGCTGAAGCTGCTTCTGTCGATTTTTAAGGACACAGTTACACATCAAGGGAAAAAATGTCCTTCTGTATCACTTCTAGATTTGTGGGATGAAAAACTGACATGACTTGAACCAAGTATAACCCAGAGACAAGGCAGCATACAGATTTGGGTAGATGGGGGAACTGACTTAGTATTTCAAATATCAGTACCCTGCTGTAATGTAACCAGTGCAGAGAACCAGAAACCCTGTGCCATTTGAGAACACCACGGTGCAATGCTTGTCATACTGCAAACAGGAGGCAGACCTCTCCTCTCCCCGACGACCTCTGAAACTGGAGGCCTGCCGCTAGCCCGGGCTTTCTCTAACCCCATTTCTCTTGCTGGCCTCCTTTAGAGACGGCTGCTCCTGAGAGGCGTCTGGAACCAACAGGCACAGCCAACTTAACTGCTCAAAGCTTTCAATTAAAAAATAAACAGAATTTGAACTAAGGTCTCACACTGTAACCCAGGTTAGACCGGAACAAGTTACTGTAGCCCAGGCTGGCCTCCAACTCACAGCAATCCTCCTATCTAAGTTGGTTGCTGGGATTACAAGCATGAGCTACCATGCTCCAGTTTCAATTCAGTTTATTTTTTTAATTTGTCAACGATGCAACTTAGAATTATAAAATGCAGTGAAAAAACAAATTCTTGGTGATTTCAAGTTCCTGGCATGTTACCCTTTGAGACTGGTACCCCAGATAGTCTTGGGGTTTTCAAAATTGTGATATTTTAAACAGACTTCATACTCTATAATTTGAATAACTAAAATTCATGTTTAAAGAATAAAATACAAGCCGGACGGTGGCGGCGCACGCCTTTAATTCCAGCATTCAGAGGCAGAGGCAGGCGGATCTCTGTGAGTTCAAGGCCAGCCTGGGCTACAGAGTGAGTTCCAGGACAGCCAGAGCTACACAGAGAAACCCAGTCTAAAGGGAAAAAAAGTAAAATACAGCAAGCTTAGTCTACATGAATAAGCACCAAAGCTGACATTCAGATCCAGTTCTGTCTGAAATAGGCCATTAGAAACATCAAGGCTGACCAACGGCTAGCTTCAAGCTAAAACACTTGATAAGGGGAGAAGGGTAAGAAGACAAAACTAAGAAAAATCACATAAAAAAGAGACAAGCAGCAGAAGAAAAAGTAAGGCAGACGCCCGTTCAGGAGGCTCCAGAACAGAGGAGAAGATCAGTGTTTAGAATCCAGTGCCCGCACACAGTATTACTGAAATGTAAGGAGAAAACGGGAAAGATGTCGTGCTGCTGCAGCCTTTCTCAAAAGGAACTTCAGAGGATAGAAGCCAAAAGAGCACATCATCAGTGCAGCCAAGTAAGGAAAGTTCAGAATAACCTGACATCAGGCCTAAGGGATGCCTGCAGCAGTGACTTCAAGGGACAGAAGCATACTGAAGATGCCATCACAAGCCACCAGCCTTCCTGTCAACCTGTGTCAAAGCCTGGAGGCGTCTTCACTAACAACAATGAATGGAGACTAGATAGGCCAGAAGATGCAGGAGCCAACATGGGAGCAACTCCAGACGGCACCACAGACTGTCTAAAGAGCAGAAAGGTAGCCAGGGAAGAACCTGAGACAGTGGGTCTCAGACAAAGCAGAGTGAGGACTTCTAGCAAAGACTACCCAGGGGAACACAGGGAAGTCCGGAGGCCCCTGGCTTAGAGGCTACAGAGTGGGCGGAGGACACCAAAACCCAGCTTTATATGGAAATAAATGAGTTTGGGGCAAATGCGACTTCCAAAACTACATGCATTCAAAGAAACCTTAAAAGGTGGGACAGCAAAACACTAACAAAGGAGAAAAGACACACCCGCATCATCATTTCTCCAGTTTCTGGGTTTCCTCCAAGTTCATCCCAAGAGCATCTCTGTGAAGGACGACTTTTTTTTTAACCATAATAATTCCACCTCACTTTAATTTACCGTACTGTTGAGTCGGCATGTGTGGCTAGATGCTTCACACCGCCACATATTTAACTCTCTTGCCAGGTAGGAATTATCACTCCCATCTTATGCAAGGAAATTGAGGCTCCAAGACATGAAGCAGCTTATTCAAGTCCAGGAGTTAACGGACAAGTCATCCCTGAAGCACAGGAAAGATGCTACCAAAGTCCACATTTTGCACAGTCCACAGTAATGTGCTACCACAACGCCATCTCTAAAACGCACTGCTCCACCACCTGTTCCCACCAGCAGCCACACACTAGATCAATGCTAAAACACAGAAAATGCCTGACTGTGTTTAAGGCTACTGGGGTCGAGGGGGAAAACATGTCTCTCGTATTACAGGCCAGCCTCATACTTAACTATGTAAGGCAAGGATGATCCTGACCTTCTGACCTTCCTGCATCCACCTGACTGCTGGGATCACAGACATGTGTCACCACACATGGTTTCCACCATACTGGGGCTAAAACCCAGACCTTCGTGTATGCTGGTCAAGTACTCTGCCAGCTAAGCTACACCCCTCGCCCCTGTTTAAGATAATTTCTATAAGTTCCAATCTGAGCAAATTACATTGCCCTTATGAATGGTTCATAAACAATCTTACCATTGAGCACACTACTTAAGAGTATCCACAATGAAAAGATAAACCAAATAATCACAAGTTACCACAAGAACAGAACCAGGCATGGTAGTACATGCCTGTCTATAATCCCTGGGAGGCTGCGATTGAGTTGAAGTCAGGGTAGGCTACATGGTGAGACTCTATCTCAAATAAACAAAATAACTACAGGAGAGAGGTGGAGGAAAATTCCAGATGTGAAGGTATCAGAGCCTGGCAAGATGGCTTAGCAGGTAAAGGGAACTACGATGATGGTTTCCAAGCCTGATGGCCTGAGTTCAATCCCAGAATCCACATGGTGGAAGGAGAGAACCTCCTGATCCTGCATGTTGTCTTCTGACCTCCACACGCGCAGTGGCACACAACTAACCAATAAATCAATGTAATTTCAAAAAGCATTTAAAGATATGACAACAGAGTGGTTTCTCTGTAATAAAGAAGTAGCAACAACTTGATTTATTATTTTTAAGACAAGAACAAAAATCAAGAGACTTCTGTACTTGCTTGAAAGAAATGATTAATTCCTTAACTGGGTTTAAAGGCAATTGTAGTAAGGTGGGGTTTTGCTGCTGTGTAGAAACCAACACAAACAACTTAAGAGGAAAGGACTTACTGAGTCATGGTTTCAGCTCATCGTGGCTAAAACAAAGGTACAATAATGAACTCTAGAGGTGGTCATATCACCATGCTCAGCTGGATATTTAATCTTGGCTAGGAGCCGCATGGGCTTTGTATTGCTGTAGACAAACAACTTCAAGAAAGGGAAGGTGTAACTAAACTCATGGTTTGAGTTTGCATCCATGGTCAGTAGCTTCCACTGGCTGGTGAGGTAGATCTCCACAGTGAGGCAGAACAGCATGATGGGAGTACAGAATGAAGACTAAAGAAAAAGGTATGGGGTTTCAACAGCCCATCAAGGTCATGCCACCAATAACCCAATTTCTCCCAAATAAACCCAATCTCGTAGAGGCTCCATCACCTTCCAATAGCTCTACAGGTTGTGGCTCAAATCTTTGACCCTTGGGCCTTTGGGGACATTTGAGGTCTCAACGATAGCACTGTATCCCCACTTTCTATCCAGACCTTGTCATGGGGTATTTAGAATTGCTATGAGGTTGTACTAATTACACAGCCTAAAGCAACCTATATAACCCTTCACACTTATGCTAACTGACAAGGAAAATTGAATAGAGGTCAGTCAAACGGCTCAATACTTACTATGCAAGCAAGAGGCCCTGAGTTCAGATCCCCAGTGCCTATGGAAAACAGTGGGGTATGGCAGCATACACCTGTGGTCTTAGTGCTGCAAGGCAAAGACAAGAGGCCCCAACTGAAGGATGAGCTCCAAGTTCAGGGACAGACTGTCGGCTATTGAGGAGGCCATTCAACATTTAGCTCTAACCGCCACGCAGACACCCACAGGTAAGAGTACCAAATAAAACAACATGATGCAAAGAAACAATGTGTCCCTCAATGGCCTGCTTTTATATAAATAATCAAGATCATTCAGAAGCAACTGGTGTAAATCTGAAAGACAAAGACAGCTCTTAAAGTGTTAACCAGCTTCCATTAAGTTCAGACACACT